ACTCCAACAGAGCAGCCAGGAAGGTCTCCCTGGGGCTGGGAGCCCATAATTCCAATCACTCAGGAGAGTGAGGCAGAAGGATCAGAAGTTCAAGACCAGCCTGAGGAGCCTAGTGAGACCCAGTCTCAAAAAGGGCTGGGGGTATATACAGCTCAGTGGTCAAGTGCTGCCTAGCCTCTGTGAGGTCCTGGGTTCAATCCCCAGCAATAGAGATACACACAAAAAGGAATGTCTGGACTTATCTTCAAAGACAACAGCATGCAACCAAGAACACAGCACACTGGAGACAGCTTTCACTGTGCTGCTCGCAGCGTGTCTGCATGGAGGGCTGCAAGATCCAGCTCAGACCTCCATCGTTTCTCCTGTTGTTTTCCAAGTGCTTGGTCATCTAGTTCCACATTCATCCTTTTCCTCTGACTTATCTCTGCGTGACTTTGGAAAGCAGTCTTCCTTATCTCAGAAACAAATGGCCTCCACGAGAGCTGGAAACAGTGAAGTCATTTATCCGTTTGACAAGTGTTTCCCTGTTTGTTTTCTCCAGCCTTGAGACAAGAGTTGTGTCAACTGTGGAAGGCTGTGCCCCAGTCACTTGAGAGACATGAATCAATTTCCCAGCTGCATTTATCACTTGTTGCCTTAAATCAGGTCTAATCAATGCTGTCTTCATTTGGTCTGAGCTGAAACTACATATAACACACCCAGAAAACAGGCAAGACACGGAGCAGATTACAAACAAAACGTTCACCAGGAATTTAGATGAAAAAATGTTAAGGAAATACTTGCATGTTTTATTTGCTTCAATGGAGACCCCTGACCAAACAGTCACTTGTGTTTGTGAAGCTTAATTTCAATTTTCCTAACAATATTATATGATAGATCACTTTATCCAGGGGTTTCTGCATCAAAAGAAAGACTTTATAATTAATATATCCCAAACATCTGACATATTTTTATAGGCTTATCCCTGTATTGTCATTACCTAATTCTTTGATCTTTTAGAGATGTTGGTCTTGAAACTATTGAATATAGAAATCACTTCCAGTTATAACATAAAATATTTCTCTATAATAAAACAGAAATGCAGAAGCCCTTCTATTTTAAAATAATTTAGTCTTAGGACCAGGAAAAAAATGAACCTGTTTCTATGCCCCCCCAATACTTTGTAATAGAACCTTGTCCACACAACCACACTGGATTTTTTATTAGCAGGTGTAAAAACCGCCCCCTGGCTGTCAACCAATTTGGCATGTGGTAGGGAGCAGCCCTGTCTCATAGGTAAATTAATCTTGTGCCAGTGAAAGATGATACCAGCTTAGTTACAGCACCTAAAACCAACCGTGCCCACAACAAGGCCCTCCATCACTCTACAAGGATAACGGAAGAGGAGAGACAGAACATAGAAAAATAGGTCAGTGATAATGTGAACGTAGATGAGGCAGTGCTGTGATTCATTGATATAATTAATATTTCTATCTAATCTGCTGAACTGTGTAGACTTTTCCCAGCAGCCTGTCTCTGAAGCGATTAGCAAGGCTGACTCATTTCGCAGTGCTGCTTCTCCTAGCGACCTGTGGTAGGTAGTTAAATAAAGCCCTGTTCAGCTCTGGAAAGCCAGACAACAAGAACCCTGTGTTGGTTTAATACTGCCCAGTTTATAAAGGGTTTTGAACATAAAGTCACCAAGTCATGTGCTGCATAACATCATCTGACTAACAGCAGATGGCATGTATGATGGCGGTCCCCTAAGAATGTATCATTTAGTGACGTGGTATCCGCTATGATGTGGATGCAATCACACAATCACCTAAATGATGTATTTCTCAAAACACATCCCCATCATCAAGTGACTTGTGACTGCAGTTCCACTCCATTTTCAAGATAAGGCAAAGGTCTCGCCAGCCACACCTGAGCCAAGCTCTGGGACTCCATTATGCCCTGTCGTGCTCCTGGGTTTCCCCCAAGTTCTTCCAGCTGAGCTGTGACTACACTGGCACTGGGCTGTCCTTGTTCTTTCCCCACATTTTTCTCCCAGCATCCAGGGCTCTTGGGAAAGCAGCATATGTGGTTATAGGAAATCCCTAAAGTGGCCTGGCAGGTGATCTAGTTTAAAAAAAGAAAAGCCAGTACCTCTGGATGTGTTTTGAGTTACAGATGGAGTGCAGAAGGCTGTTCTCATCCCACATTAGACAAAGGCTGGGTAATGTGAGAGAAAGCTTTCAGCCCCCCGTGAACAAAGAGAGGATAAAGAGAGGGTGAGAAATGGCCCTGGATGTGGAGGCTGAAGCTCAGACGCGCACTCGTGTCGCCTGCAGGGCTCTTGAGAGCTGTTTCAAAGCCCATGGCTTTGAGGATATCCAGGGAGGATCACATTCGCTTATTCTTTGAGAAAGGTAATTTTTATAAGAGAAATCTGGATGAAGTAGCTTCTGCCAAGACTCCTCAGGACAGAAATTGATGAAAAGAAGAAATTTTCCATGGCTTTAAACTTTTAGACAAGGGTATATTTGCTCAACTAGGTTGATTTTAGTAGAGGTAGATGACTGGAGTAACAGAATGCTTTTTCAAACTGGCTGCAGGCAATGTATTACTGAGGAGAAAGGCATTTTCAATGGTCATACAAATTTCAAAGTTCTTCAGGGAGCCCGAACAAGGTCTTGAACACGTTGTGACCAAGCTGTTACAGTGTTCAGGAGTTAACATGCATGTCAAATGGCACAGTCACCCCAACAGTCATGTTAATACAAACTGCAATTTATATAAGAAATACAAATCCTAGCAGCCTTTCTAAGCCCCAAGTAAAAGGGATTGCACCCTTTCTTGAAATAAAAAAATTCTGCTGAGATTAATGCAGATCAGATTTCATTTCATTTCCTCCCCAAAGCAAATCGGTTCGTCTCATTCGCTCATTCTTTCACCATGCATCTCAGAGTGCTGAGAACACAGCACGGATGGTGCAGCAGTAACAAGATGCCACACAGCCCCACTCCCAAGAGCGTACACTCAGGTGGGAACATGCACTTCCAGGCAAGACAGGGAACAGGAGCCAACTTTGCTCTTTGGCCTGGCATAACCAAAAAGGAAAAACAGGCCCAACACATTAAACAGGCATTTTCAAGATACTTACCATCCAGTCATGGAAGACTGGTCCCAGAGGCAGAAGGGACAGTCCATGCATAACCAGTCAACTCTGGAGTCCAAAAGACAGCCGAGGGTGTGGAGGGACCACAGCAGCTGTGACTGCAGGGCAGGGCAGGGCAGGTTCCTGAAAGGAGAGCTGCCTGGGGAACCCTGGACATCTGGGGTTGGAAAGAATACACCTTGAGTCGGCAAGAGACTGCGTAGTGATGAGCGCTGGGGAAAGGACCATCCGCCAGGATTAGAGGGACAGCACTCAGCACTTGTCTTTCTTTTCTTGTTGGGAAAAAATACTCCACACACAAAGTTAAAGGAGGGAAGTTTTATTGTGGCTCAGTTTGTAGAGATTTTGGTCCATACTTTGCTAGTTTTAAGGCACGCTGGCATGACAGAGGGGCACTGTAGAAGAGAAAAAGTTCATGGAGGACAGAAGGCAACAAAGCATTAAGCAGCAGGAGAAGCAGAAGCAGCGGAGCTCTTCTGCCGCTTTACACTCTGGCCAGGCTGTAAGCGTGCTGATTGCTGTCATACACAGCCCGGTTGGGACATCCGTAATCTCAGCATCACACATCACACAGCCAGCCACCTTTGAAACTCTTCATCTATCAAACTTTTAGGGGACATCTAGATACAAGTTGCAGTAGCACTCATACAAGAAACACTACTTCCATTACCAGACTGGAAAAACTCTTCATACCTAGAGCTTAGGTAGAACACTCAGGAGAATCAACACTGATTAATTATGCTATAGACTGAGAGCCTGCTCTACATCTGCTTAACAGGGACCCACAAACCTCAAACTAGTTCAAGTCACTTAGCTGCACCTCAAAGCAAGGGTAAAGGACATGGGTAGGAATTCCTATCTAGCACTTAAAGTAAAATTCAAGTTTTAAAGATTATCAGGCATACAAATAAACAGGAAAACATGATTTATAATGAGGACTTACATCCAGATTTTATAAAGAAATCTCAAAACTCAAAAATAAGAAAACAACCTATCTTTACAAAAAATTGGCAGGAGATTCAAACAAACACTTCAAAAAGATATGTGGGTGGCCAATAAAAATATGACAGATCGGACCAGGGATAGAGCTCAGTGGCACAGCGCCTGCCTGGTAAGTGCAAAGTCATGAGTGCAGTTCTTGGTACAAAAAAACAAAAAAAGATCACTGTAAGTCTTAAGAGTACGCAAATCAAAACAATGAGCTATCACTACACATCAGAAGAATAGAGCCGATAAAAGGACTGACCAATGGCAAACATGGGAAAGAACTGGAACTGTCACCCACTGCTGATGGGATATAACTCAGTACAGTCACTGGGAAGCCAATTCTGCAGCTCTTAGAAGTGTTCTGTTTTGTTGAGACAGGGTCTCACTCCGAAGGGCAGGCTGGCCTTGAACTTGCTTATGTAACCCAGGTTGGCCTTGAACTCATGGACATCCTGCAGCCTCAGCATTCCCTCCCCCAGTGCTGGGGTTATAGGTGTGCACCACCATGCCCAGCCCTAGAGCTTCTGAAAATTTTAGATATATATAGAAGCCACCACATTGCCCAGCCACTCCACGCCCAGACACTTACCTCGGAGACAGGAAAGCACAGGTCTACACAAAGACTTGCACACAAATGTTCAGACCAGCTTCATCTGTTGATCTTTTTTTAATCTACTGATTTGGTATAGGGGCTTACTACACAGTTCAGACTCATAGTGATCCTCCTGTTTCAGTGTCCCCAGTGCTGGGATTACAGGCTTGCGCCACCATACCTGGTTTCCCTGGCTGGCTCAGCATGGGGCTGGCATGGCATAGGGCACAGGGGAATGAACCTGGGTCCTTGCACTTGCCAGGCAGGTGCTTCTGCTGCTGATCTATCTCCCCAGCCCACAAGAGCTTTCTCTGTAACACCACTGAACTGGAAATGACACAAATTCCTATCAGCAGCTGAATGAACAAATCTATTCAATGAAATAATATTCAGCAAGGAAAAGAAAAAAAAAAAAACTCTTGACACAGATCAATCTCAAAATACAGAGTGAAGTAAGCCTGATGAAAAAATTGTACCAATTGCATAATTCAATTTATATAAAATTCTAGGAGATGCAAACCACTATATAGTGACACAGGCAGCTTGGTGATTGACTGGGGGATGTAGGTGGGTGGCACCTGGCCAGGCAGGAGGAGAGGATAACAGAGGGATACAACCACCTGGGGGTGATGGGGGAGGCTCTTTACCCTGGTTGTGGAGGTGTTGTCATATGCTGTAATCATATGTCACTACTTATCACATTACACATTTCAAGTGTGACCACTTTCCTATATATCAAGAACACCCCCATAAAACTAAAATAAGTGTATTAATGAGGTTACATTAACCTCTGCACTCTAGATTCCAGTAGAATTGTTATTTTCATTATTAAGTATTAGTTACACTTGGAAAAAGGACATTAGAACTTTATTTTTCAAGTTACAACAAGAAAACTAAAAGGTATAAACATTCCACAAGGTATAAACTATAAAACAATGTGATATATACAAAGAGAAGCACAGAGAAAAAAGGAGCTCTAATTCAGCAGATGAAACCAAAGCTGATCGAATTCCCTACCTTGAACAAAACCTGTGAGTCATTCATTCAGCATCTGATGCTTCACTGCCCTGCATGCTGCTGTGGCTCACAGCAGTGGTGCCCTCGGGCTGGGCCACCTGAAGTGTGGCCCTCAGCTGCTCCCCAAGTTCCTCGATGAGAGGCCTGAGGGCTTGACCAGGGGTGTCCACACAGGCTACGCCATCCCTGACAGGCCGGGTGCTGACAGGCAGGGCACTGCTCGCTGCTTGGAGAAAGGGGCCAAGTGGAGAAGTCACCGGCGCACCCTGGCTCCCGCTGAGCTCCTCAGCAGCGGAATCCTCAGTGCCCGGTGAAGGCGTGCCCTCTGATTCCGATTCCGAGTCCGATTCCAATTCCGACTCTGACTCCGACGACCCTGAGTCACCTGCCTCAGGGCTGGAGCCAGGAGCCGGTGGGGATGCAGAAGGGGCCACTTTTCCAGCAGCTTCCTCCTCCTGGACAAGACGTGCAGCTGTTTCCAGCTCTTCCAGCTCTAACCCCAGTTGGGCCTTGGTCAGGGAGGCTTCTTTCAAGGCTTTGGCAAGAGTGCTCAATTTTTTAGACCTTGAAAATGATTTTAAGAAGAAATATTAGTACTGTTTATTAATTACTCTGGGAGCAACAGAGTAGAGTTAGAAAAAAAAACCACCACTACCAACTGAATCTATACTTCAAATGAGACACCAGGATAAATACCCCCACAATCAAAAGATATGTATGTTTTTATTTTTATTTTTTTATTTTATTTTATTTTATTTTTTATTTTTTTTTCTACAGTTTTATTGATAAACATATAG